ATTTTGTAAAGGGAGGGGGTTTTATTTTGTTTTTACAACCGAATTTCTTTATATATTACAACATTAGCCTTTCACCTTACATTTTCTTTAGTAAAAACACAGAAAAAAATTTGAACTTTCTTATTTCTCTTTCTTTTTTGCAAATCCAGAGGGGGGGGGGGGGGTTGCAACCCCCGTAACCCCCCCCCCTCTGGATCCGCCACTGTTATATTATGCCATTGTGCACCTCTTATTTTACAATTTGATCTGACACTTATTTTGGGTCTTCCAGAGCAAATTATTGACTTTGCCATTATAATCAAATGGGAGGCGAGGGGGGAGGGTCGTTTAGTTAGCTCATTGCTCACATTACCTCTAGGTCTTTTTTGGGACCTTTTTCATTAAATTTAAACGGTACTTGTAATTTGAAATTAGTTACGCATATTTGATAGCTTTAATATACAATGTCACTAAAATGTATTTACTATGCGTACGTCTGTCTTTGTGTCTTTTTTCTACACACTTGCAGATATTCAGCAGATTTTTTGTGTATAACTTAATTTTGATAAGTTATAATCAAGTTTGTATTTCAATTAATACTGAGTATATGGCATTTTCAATTTTTATCGGGAACCAGTTTTCACTTGCTGGTATACGTAGGGATTTGTTTTGCTAATGCAATACTGTCAGATTGATTACATGTGTATTATTCCCCTACCGCTGAAACCAAAGAGGTTTAGGTTTCCTCTGAGTATGTCCGTCTTGTTGTCTGTCCGTCCGTCTAGCTGTCCCTCCGTCTGTCTGTCAGTCTGTCTCACTCGGTTTTCCGCATTTTTTTCTTGACGCTTGCAGATATTAACTTAAGCTAATTTTTGATATGTGAGTGTATCTCGTTTCGTATCAATGATTTTTTACGGATATACGACCTATTCAGTATTTCTAGGTTTTCCACATTTTTTAAATGCTTGCAGACATTGAACTTATGTTTGGTCTTAACTTACCTTGATGGGTTTTAGATGAAGTTTGCATTTCGTTCCGCTTCATAGATTTTTGACAGAATTATATCATTTTCAATTTCTAACGGGAACAGGATTATACTTGCTGTAGCGGACTAGTACATGTATTGCTTATTCAATACTCTCGGAATGCTAGTTATTTTTGTCCTTTTGTGATGAAATAAAATTGTTGGGTACTCTCTGTGATACTATTATACGCAGTTTGCGCGTTTACTCCATTTGTCATTTTAATTCTAACTATTAAAGCAATACAAATATACGGAGCAGAGCAAACACAAACCTCTAAATACATCAGAGGTGGGATGAGGTGCCATGGAGGAGTGAGCATCCCCTGCCGACCGGTCACACCCGCCGTGTACTCCTTGTCATGATCGGGCAACCGGGAAAATCCGTTGACAATTCAAAGTGTAATCATTAATGGTCTAACAATTGGTAAGAGTATGAGGTCTGTCAATTTTTGACTTCATGATTATAAGATTAATTGTACTTGCTGACAAGGTCATTGTATCGGCCAGAGAACTTGCGAAATGATGACTTTGAAACAAAACCGTTAATATCAAATAACTTGCCTTGTTTTGGAAATTGTTGGTACAAAGAGCATGCTGTAGCGTATCGAATCAACTGGGAAATATAAACCCCATATGCTGGTGATAAGGGTTTATTTCTACACAAGTAAGGGAAGTTGATGGTCATCACTTTATCATAAAGACTGCATTAGATTTTCATTAACATCTTTTTAGCTCACCTGAGCCGAAGGCTCAAGTGAGCTTTTCTGATCAAAATTTGTCCGTTGTCTGTCGTTGTCATTGTAGTCGTTGTTGTCGTCGTCGTCGTAAACTTTTCACATTTTCATCTTCTTCTCAAGAACGACTGGGCCAATTTCAACCAAACTTGCCACAAAGTATCCTTAGGTGAAGGGGATTCAAGTTTGTTCAAATGAAGGGCCACACTCTTTTCCAAGGGGAGATAATCATGAATTAGAGAAAAATTAATGGCATTTAAAAAAAAATCTTCTTCTCAAGAACCACTGGGCTAGGAAAGATGAAAATCATGTGGAACCATCCTAAGGTAGTATAAATTCAAGTTTGTTCAAGTCATGACCCCCGGGGGTAGGGTGGGGCCAACATGGCCGATCAAAGTTTAACATAGGCGTATATAGGAAAAAACTTTTAAAAAATCTTCTTCTAAAGAACCACTGGGCCAGGAAAGATGAAACTCGTGTGGAACCATCCTCAGGTAGTGTAGATTCAAGTTTGTTCAAATCATGACCCCCGGGGGTAGGGTGGGGCCAAAATGGCCGATCAAAGTTTTACATAGGAATACCGGGTATATAGGAAAAATCTTTAAAAATCTTCTTCTCAAGAACCACTGGGCTAGGAAAGATGAAACTCATGTGGAATCATCCTTGGGTAGTGTAGATTCAAGTTTGTTCAAATCATGACCCCCTGGGGTAGGGTGGGGCCAAAAATATTTGGGGATCAAAGTTTTACATAGGAATACCGGGTATATAGGAAAAATCTTTAAAAATCTTCTTCACAAGAACCACTGGGCTAGGAAAGATGAAAATGATGTGGAACCATCCTTGGGTAGTGTAGATTCAAGTTTGTTCAAATCATGACCCCCTGGGGTAGGGTGGGGCCAAAAAGGGGGATCAAAGTTTTACATAGGAATACCGGGTATATAGGAAAAATCTTTAAAAATCTTCTTCACAAGAACCACTGGGCTAGGAAAGATGAAAATCATGTGGAACCATCCTCAGGTAGTGTAGATTCAAGTTTGTTCAAGTCATGACCCCCTGGGGTAGGGTGGGGCCAACATGGCCGATCAAAGTTTTACATAGGCGTATAAAGGAAAAAACTTTTTAAAAAATCTTCTCAAGAACCACTGGGCCAGGAAAGATGAAACTCATGGAACCATCCTCAAGTAGTGTAGATTCAAGTTTGTTCAAATCATGACCCCCGGGGGTAGGGTGGGACCAAAATGGCCGATCAAAGTTTTACATAGTAATATATAGGAAAAATCTTTAAAAATCTTCTTCACAAGAACCACTGGGCTAGGAAAGATGAAACTCATGTGGAACCATCCTCAGTTAGTGTAGATTCAAGTTTGTTCAAGTCATGACCCCCTAGGGTAGGGTGGGGCCAACATGGCCGATCAAAGTTTTACATAGGCGTATATAGGAAAAAACTTTTTAAAAAATCTTCTTCTCAAGAACCACTGAGCCAGGAAAGATGAAACTCATGTGGAACCATCCTCAGGTAGTGTAGATTCAAGTTTGTTCAAGTCATGACCCCCTAGGGTAGGGTGGGGCCAACATGGCCGATCAAAGTTTTACATAGGCGTATATAGGAAAAAACTTTTTAAAAAATCTTCTTCTCAAGAACCACTGAGCCAGGAAAGATGAAACTCATGTGGAACCATCCTCAGGTAGTGTAGATTCAAGTTTGTTCAAATCATGACTCCCGGGGGTAGGGTGGGACCAAAATGGCCGATCAAAGTTTTACATAATACATAGGAATATATACGAAAAACTTATAAAATCTTCTTTTCAAGTACTTTAAAGCCATGATTAGAGATATTTATATGGAATCATCCTCGGGTGTTGTAGATTCTATTTTGTTCAAATTAGGTCCCCTGGGGGTAGGGTGGGGCTAAAATGGCTTGTCAAAGTTTTATGTAGGATAAATAGGGAAATCTTTAAAATTATCTTCTTAAGAACTTCAAAGCCATGATTAGAGATATTTATATGGAATCATCCTCAGGTAGTGTAGATTCTAGTTTGTTCAAATTACAACCTCCAGGGATAGGATGGAGCCAAAATGGGGGATCCAAGTTTTACATTAAAATATATTTTAAAAGTCTTCTTATCAAGAATAGCAAAGTCATGATTAGTGGTAATTATAGTATTTATATGGAAGCATTCTCAGGTATTGTAAAATTTAATTTTTTTCAAATCATAACTCCCAAGGGTAGGGTGGGGCCACAATGGTGGATCAAAGTTTTACATAGAAAAATAAAGGGAAGAATCCCAAGAACAGAAAAGCTATGTTTAGTCACATTGGCGTGTAAGCATCCTCATGTATTGAAGATTTAAACTTGTTCAAATCATGGCCCTTTCAGGGAGGGAGGAAAACAATGGGGAATCAAATTCAAATTATTACGAAATAATATATAGGAACAAAATGTTTAAAGAAGAGGTCTTTTTATCAATAACAGCAAAGTCATATGCTGTATTGATATGAAGGCATTCTCAAATATTATTAAAATTGAAGCCCCCCCCCCACCTCACCTAAGTAAACTTTTAGTTCTGATCTGATATGTGCTTTTTCCTAGCCGATGTGCTCAGGTGAGCGATGTGGCCCCTGGGCCTCTTGTTTTTTATCTAGTAAATATGAAACAGATTTCAGATTCTGTAGTATCTTTTCATTTATTTCAAGTTCACTGGGATATTTAGAATTGACATATGAGTGGAAGTAAAATTACCTGTCGATATATCTAAGTATATGAGAAGAATACTTTAAGTAATTCTCGCCCATCTAATTATTTAACAAATCAGTGTTTCACCTGAAAATAGGAATTCAATTTGAAAAACAACTAAAAGAAGTTGGTCAACCAGAACTGAAAAACATGTGGAATTAAATAAGTTGGATAATTAAGGTCTATCTGACATAGGCCGGTAGGTCGATTACCCAGTGTCTGGAGAAGGGAAGAATTTCTAGAGAGTTCATGACCCAAGCGTTACACGTCATTCGGCCACGTTGCCTGCTCTGTCATCCCTTCTTATGGTAGACACTTGTGATTTTAATTTCCTTTCATAATGATTAAGTGAATGATTGCCATTTGTCCTTGTGTACGGCACCTGCCTGGGAGACATCACTGAATACTGAAGCGTTCCTTGATTCATCAGTCTCCCCTAAAATGAGACGAGCACTTAGCAGCTTTCATGGAATCGCTCCTACGTGATGGATACGGCAATTGCAAGCCGGTCAGCTATATAAGGGACCTATACTCTCTGTTCTTCCTCCATTGTTCTAGAGAGTTAAGATCCAGAGAACTAAGGGACAATCTTTTTGTGTGAGTATCTTTTACAACATTCTAATAAAATACTATGACTTGCTAAAACCTGCTAAAAGTAAATGTATGGTGCTCAGTTATTATTTTCTTTTTATGGTCATTGGCTAGTGGTCGCTGTGATTAACTTTTTGATTTTAATGAAATCTGCAATGTAGTTGAAGTTAGAGTAAAATTTTTTTTAATGATCTTAAAATCTTCAGTTTACTTTTAGGCCTTACTGTATTTGTAACTTGTGTGATTTGCTGTATAACAATCAATGTACCGGTATTTTACTTCGCGATATCTAAGACGCGATGTTTCTCTAACATGCGTAAAATAATTTGGACATACATATACTGATAAAGTTCCATTTTGGATTTTGGACCCATATAAAATGATCTGGAGAAAGTGTGTCGCTTTCGAAATCAAAATTAAGAAGCAAAAATCCGGAAGAAAATTTTTCTACGTGATGCCTTAGAACATGTAGATGTATATGGATGAGGATAATAATTAAGTATTTGCTGATCATTATTCAGTAAAGAATTCTAACTAATTCTTTGAGTCATCTTTTGATAAGACAAATGTATAATTCTGGATACAACTTGGTATTCCTAAAAACTAAGTGATTTTTTGGAAAATGTTAATGGATTTTTGTTTTTTCTGTTGCAGGGGAATAAAATAGTTCCCCAAGTTCGCGCACCATGACATTTCCTATAAAGAATGGCTTGAATTCTTACTATATGATAGTTTTCAAAGATTTGATCCATGGAAAACTCCCAGCTAAGGAGACTTGGGTTTTCAAATACAAATATAATATATCACACGCATTTTCCTTTTATTTTATATCTCAGGTCACCAAGGAATCAGAATGAAGACCCTGTTTGTCCTAGCGGCTGTCGCTGTTTTCAGTGGTGTGGTGTCTAGTCAAAAATACATCTCAGTAGACGGTAAATTGCCATGTAAACCGTGCAACCATGACGACATTCCTCTTGGACAATTTAAATTGTTAAACCCAATCTGTGGGCCTTGTGGTGAAATGTACGGGCCATCTTTTGAATTCTGCTGTATGTGTGACCGGAAGATCAGACGCGCATGCGAAGAAGCCATCCGGAAGTAGGAATAAAAGAACGGAATTTTAAAAATCCTTTGTCAAACAATTTTTACACAGAGTGTGTTTGATCTCAGTAGTAGTTTGCAATAAAAATATTTTTTATTAAAATTATTCTTGTGTTTTGAAAGGTTTATAATAAGACCTACGATTCGTTTATGCATCAATTCATTTTCTCTAGAAATTAAAACATTTACTATTGTTTGCAGCTAACTGTAAAGTTTCACATTACTTCACGATCTTTTTCGTCAGATGCATCCAGCGTAAACAATTCACGTAATTGGTCAACTCAAATTATCAACTTTGACATGGATATAGTCTGTTGCACGAGCAACCAATCAGGGATAAGAAGAAAGTTCCAGTGGTAAAGCTTGCGGTTAGGAGGCGTGTACAATTTACCTTGAGAGCAGCTGTCAACTAGATCGTGACGTAAAACTTTACAGTCGACTGCAAACAATAGTATCAGTTTTATTACTTCCAGACCTTCCGACGAGCGAAAAAAGCAATACAATAATTAAGGTACCAAAAATAGGATCAACAACGCCCATCTACATTAGCTTGTTACGTATTATTCCAATCTCAAATTTTTGACAAAAGCCTTACCATTTCGTTTCGATACAACCAAGCCGACTGAGCTGACCATGTAAACTTCGTTTATACAACAAGAAATTTACTAAATTGATTATACGAGTTCTTCTGTAACTTTATGTACTGTTAGAAAAGGGTATACGTAATCTACATTTTTTTAATTTAGTTTCTTTTTAATTTATCACATTTTCCATAAAAATATATCGTGGAGAAATGCTAAAGGCGAAGAAAACCTGCAAGGATCGATCTAAAAAAAAAACCCACTGATCTATAAACAATGCATATATGTGGAAATGGAATAAAACACGGATCCCGGAAATTCTACATGTGGGATCAGGTGCCTAGACAATCGGCAATCCTCGGCTGACTCCGCTACGCTCCATTCAAACCTCGGATGTGATTGGTGGAGGAATACGCAACAGATCCTTACATTTCTCCGCCGGAAACTGCCTTATCACTCATTTCATATTTCGCTCTGCATAACGTTCTTCGAAAATGTTTCTTAATTTGTGAAATTCTTTATCGTAAACAGGTTTTGATTCATCCTCATGTTAATAGGCTTTGAAAGCAAGAAAAAACTGTTGTGTGTACCACAAAATAACTCCGATTTCAAATGTATGACATTTGAAAGAAATTCAAATAAGATCACATGACTGAATCAGCAAGATGGTAGATCACCGTTGACGTCCGAGGTTATGTGCGAGGTACGAGTCATCCGAGGAAATCCGAGTGGTGCCTAGAAAGATTAAGCGTCTCCTTTTGACCCAGGACATCCGCCGACGGCCCTAAATATAATGTACTCGTCATGTAGACAAAGCATTCTGTAGTCAAACTATTGAAATCCCTGTAACATCAACTTATCAGTGAACAGCCTGCCTCGCTTTAAGAAATGATCGAACTCAGAGCAAGTTCTTGAGTAGCGTATACGATTGGAGACATAAGTAGCCCGAAAAGTAGGTAATGGAATATTACTACACAAATAAGGAAAGTTGAAGATGGAAAAGCCGAAATATAATCTTTTTATAAAGTTTAGTTCTTAATAAGCCTTTTGTCCATAGTAAATAAAACATCTAAATATGATACAGATGTGACAGACTCTGTGTTGTTTTCTTTTATTTCAAGTTCACAGGGATATATAGAGTCTAGACGACATATAAATGAAAATAATATATCTGAATGTCGGATTAGTTTAAGAAGTATTTTATTCAAAATATACAGAAAAGTATACAGTGAATAAGGATTGAGCAGCAGGCCAACGGCCTAATGTTAGTTCTTTCCATTGGAGATCAAGGTACAAATTACATATTTGAGTTCTACAAAGATATATATTATAAACTAATATTAAAAGAGTTAAACAGTACATAATTGAAGGAAAATTGAGAGAAAACAGTGGGTAAAGAAAACAATAAAATCTAATTTTAAAAAATGGAAAAAAACAAAGAACAAAACAAAAAAAATGGAAAAAACAAAGAACAAAACCAAAAAAAAAAAAAAAAAAAAAAGAAATTAAAAAAAACCCAAAACCAAAAAAAAAAAAAATTATGATAATAATAATTAGAAGAAAAATAAGAATATGTAGACGAAGGCTCAGAACCAGACTTGAATTTTTTTTGTGTACTTTCAACCTAAATGCCAAGATTGAAAGACATGCTGCTCAATACTTAATATATTTTCTAATTCTAAAATCTTTTAGTGTTTTTTTATAAAATTATGAACTTGGTCAAAAAACATCATATTTTCACTAAGGGGTAGACAATTATAACCAGATAATACAATATTGACATCTCCTGGTATGTCATTGTCACTCATATATGTAATTAAGGTAGGATTCTTCTCTGGTTTCTGACTAGATGGAATATTCAAAGTAAATTTGTTGATATGTCTTATATATTGAGATGTAAGAGATTTAAAAGACCATATTTTTCTTATCTCGTCACAATTATACAACTCTATATAGAAATTGTAAACTGCGCTTGAAAACTAGCAGGGACTACATTTTTGGTGGAATGGTGGCGTATGAAAATATCTTCTTTTCTGCCTCTCGAAATTATTATAGAATATTGAATTTAGTTATAATTTTTACGCAATGAAAGACTAGACGAAATTTTCAAATGCAAGTTAAATTAAGGTACTAAAGTTTCGAATTATATCAAATAAATAAGATTTTCCACACATACTAGATCTTTGTTTGATTTAAAATGCTTCAAATCTAAGTACAAAATTGAGCCAAAAATCCGTAAAAAGTGTTATTTCTCTCTTAGTAAACGATCAAAACTTTTAGTTTTTGTATCATTTTGTACCGTTATGTGACAACTTTACTATATGTGAAAATTGGAAAAAGTTAAATATAGGAAGCATATAAAAATAACTAATAAATCCTTAAAATTTAAGAAAAGTAGAGGAAATTCGGATTAGCATATATCCATTTTATTTAAATTATCCATGTCAATTTGGTAATATCATCATATAGGCCCTATATGGTAGTATCTTTTTATGCAAAAAGAAAAACATTCAATCTTTGAATTACAAGTAGGGATCGCATGATTGGAAACAGTAATTTTTTATTCTTCATGTCCAGGAAAAAGGTAATGACCTTGACCTGACCTTGTCTGTAATATCAAACGGTCAAATTTAATCTCATTGATACCATCACTTAGTGATATTGTCCTCTTGATTCTGTGAAAATTTCATTAATTTTTAAATATAAGAAATATGAGAAGAATCCTACCTTGAAGATTTCCTGGCTTGGTCATAACATGGGCATTGAAAGAAAAAATGAATAGAGTCTTCTTTGAATGTCGGATTCAAGCAAGGGTTTTCTTCTTCTCGTGTAGAAGTGTTTTTTCTCAATAAATTATGCTTCATATGAATATAAAAATGCACCGGGTAATAAAGGAGCACAATTAGTGCTCATTGAAATTCCAAGTTTGTCTGAAAACTTTGTTTTCGATTAGAACATAAATTTTGTCAATGACAAACTCCAGCATCCTTTAAATACATGTATCAACTTTAGAGTACCTTTAGTTACTTCTTCTTCTTTTGGAGTGTACTCCGATTGAGTGTCAACACTCCAGTAAATTCTGCGGTGAACAGTTAAAAACCTATGTACATTTGTAACAAAAAGTTAATGCTACTTGTGTGTACAATCAGCGAGGTTTTTAAAGAAGAGCTTGATAAGGGCATTTGCTGGATCCAGCAATGTACACTGTTCAAATAATGTATCTTTGTTTGTAAGGATTTTTATGAATCCAATACAGTTAGGGTAGAACTCACCTTGGTTGACAGACTGGTATATTAGAAGTATTAAACAAT